GGACAGCCTCCAAAGCCACAGAGAAACCCTGTCTCGAAAAAACCAATAATAATAATAATAATAATAATAATAATAATAATAATCCTGTCAAAGGTTCCAGCACCAGGCAGGTGATACCCCTTAGGCCACAAGAGGAGAGGCAGCCCAAGACACACAGGGGAAAGGACGCTGCTGCCTTGGGAGTGTTCTGCAGCAGTGACCGGCTCTACTGCCATGAGTTCCAATTAGAGGACATCTTGCTGGTACTTCTTTCTCACCCAGCTTTCACACAGAATGGTGCTCTACTCTTCAGAGAAGGCCTCTCTGCACCTGCCAAGCCATGTCAGAAGCAATCACCCAATGAGACCATCCACTGGGTACCGTTTTTACAAGCACTAACTGCTTCTGATCTTCATGAGAACACCAGTAGGTGGTTGGTCATTCCATTGTATAGACAGGCAGACTGAGGCTCAAGCTATATGAGCACTGAGAAACAGAGCCATTTGAATGTTTTGACTTCATGGCATAGCTCACTTCCAGGGCAGGCATGCCAGTGTCAGCAGCACAAGTCAACTAAGAAACACCACAGTCACAACTCATGCTCCAAAAGCAGCATTCAGGGTATGGGGTAAGTAGGTGGAAGGCACCAACAGGACAGGACCTGCGGAAAAGTCAGACTGGCAGAGCCTACAGTCAGTCAGCACCTGAGCTCCTGGAGGCAGGCTGAATCACTATTGGTCTATTAACACCACACACAGGCACACGGGGGGGAGAGGGGACACACCGCACATCCCACTTTGTGAGGCATTTGAATACTCCTAAAGGTCTTCCTTTATACACAGCCCTGGCCAGAAAGCCAACAGCACAGCGCCAGCAAGGGCAATGCACGCCTGCACCTCCTGGGAGGAGGCAGGACAAGCAGGAAACATGAGAAGGGCCTCCCTCTATGGCAACCCACTCTGGAGGTTAACAACCCAGTCCTTCCAAAGCTACAACTCACTCAGGACAGTCCTGCTCGCTGCTCACACTTACCAACCTAACAACTCTAAAGCCACACTCCTACCCACTATTATACCTGAGAGATAAGCTTTGCTGGGGACAAAGCCCATCCAAACTATTCAGACTCCTTTTCCCAGGAAGACTGTTGGAGAGTCTCTTAGGGCTTTGATTATGAAACCAGGGGAGCTTGGGAGCAACAAAATACCAACAGGAGAAAAAGCCCAAATGCCTCGGTTTTTCTTTTGAGTCTGGTTAACAGTAGAGAAGAACCCTTACTGG